AATTTAGAGAGACTAATTTAAACATTTGAAAGATGTACGCAGTGCTGCCAACTTTATTTTTTTGACGCGGCAATATTTCTATTTTAAACTAAATACATACTTTTTTATAAATAATAATTAAGGGCTCAACATAGAAAATAGTATAAAACGTTCGTTGCAGAAGGCCTTCTATCACTCGTTCATTCGAACCTTCGCCGCTGCGCGGCTCAGGTTCGAAACTTGAACTCGTGCTAGAATAGGCCGCCTTCTGCAACTTATGTTTTAATATACTATTCTACTCTACCTATTGTATTGTATTCTGCTTCTAGTTTTTCGTAAAAAATACTATTTTTCGCCGAGTGATTAAATTACCCAAGGAAATTACCGGCCCTTTTGTCAAAACATCGTATGGAAAGTGTTATTTTTTTGTGTGTTGAATGTGTCTTTTTTTCGTTAATTTGTTAGAACTTTTTTTTTATACTTATCAGAAATAGTAGAAAAAATGTAAGAAAATTCATGGTGTCATACAGCCTTTATGATTGCTGAACCAAGCGGATTTAATCATATCTGATGATCAGTTTGTTAGATGAATACGGAAATAAAAGAAAGAGCTGAAAAGCTTTTGGGCAGAAGCGCTCATGCGCAAGTGTGTCAAACTTCAATGTCCAGCTGAACAGATTGGATTGGAGCCAAATTTGGTACACATATTTTAGACATAAAAGGGGAGTCGTACATGCGCAGGTGTACGGGTGGTATGTGCACAGCAAATTTTTTTGTATCAGTTCGAATCATATTGAATCAAACCCTGAGGCATTCATTCTCTGTGAATGGTTGAGGCATGATAACATAAGCTAATTGACTTTCTGTTCTAACCAAGGTTTCACTAAAGGTATCACGCACGATTACGAAACATTTGAAGTTAACCACCCTACAGTCTCCAGGTTTACTTTCTATGATGGTGGGAGATAAGCTCACTGATGATGAAACGGCTGTAATGCGATTAAATAAAGTCGAATTGAAGATTCGTTTAGCAGACGTTTGCACTCAAAGCTACTGGACTTTTTATTCTCACGCATTGATGATTTATGTTTAATCCCGCTTTAAAGTGCTTCCTTTTGATTATAGGTATGCTCACTATCATCTAGCTAGCAGCTTGATATTTAATTATGTGCATCTTAATTTGTTGAATTTTGAATTAGAACCATTGCAGTGCGTCAATTTTCATCATTATTTTATTAAAATGTATACTTTCTTATGTAGGACAGCTTCTAGATGAAAACGGTCCCTTTTTATAGGTATCTTCATCTGTAATTCAGAATTAAAGTATAAATTACGTAACCGTAAAGAGATGCAATGCTAATTTCTAACAGTTGATTATAATATTTCGAATTACTCTAATGCTGTGCGTATAAATAAAGATGATTTAAAAACGTAATTATATCTGGAAAAGAATTCTGCTTTGACTGAACGGCCTACTTCTTTATTTCTATTTTATAAGTAATATATCCCCTGCCATGTACAGTTGAAATAGGTAACTTAAAATAGCATGCGTATCCATTCAAGTTCCCCTATCTTTGAACTGTAAACAATCGGTATATTAAATTAAATGCATCCTTTGGACGTAAATATAATTTTATTTCCTAATTATAAAAGGAGCGGACGCCTAATAATTTCATTAGGCACTAATCGCATTCATAACTTTTACTTTTTTGTTTAATTAAGTAGAAAAATGTGTATAGATCCTGTTGAAATTTGACCAGTTTCTAGATGATTTGTTTACTAATTTGTACCTATGTGTACTCGAATACTAAATTCCAATGTATTCAATCGAGTGCAAGAGGGAATGGTGCTTCTAGAAGTGAATTTGGACTTACAACGATAGAAATACTTTAGACTAAATATGTTTATAATCTTGTAATTTTGAGGTCTTAAGTTCAGTATATTTTCACTCGCCTTGTGTTTCTTTTTCTTGTGGAAATCCTTCTTTCTAAGCGTAGATGAAAGAAGGATAAATTTTAATCCTTATTTGCACGATTAATCCTAGTATTTCATTGACACCTCTGGTAATATAGGCTAAATATTTCAGTTTCTCTCAAATTGTGCACATATACAGTGTGTCCATGATAAGACTGAACAGGATGGGGGAATCGAAAACCAGAAGCGGTGCGCAGTCGGTTTTAAAAATTCGGAAATTCCAATCAATTATTCAAAATCAGACAGTCAAAAAAAAACGAAATAAACCATATTCGTTTTATATTTTTTTCTGGCCCTGTTTGAAAAGAAATACAAACACAAATAACACTTCCTCATAGGAACTTTTTACTTTTTGTATCCGTAATAAAAACTGTTACTCAATACAGGTGCAATTTTTTATGGTCCATATAGTTGATGATGATTTCTCCGAAACGAAATGTATTGAAAATTTCTGGTTTTCTCGAGGATTTTCTTTAAAGCATGATAATTAATAACTGGAACTTTTCCCTAATTTGAACATCGTCGTATCTTTTATATTTTGGGAGATCCCCACGGTAGACATTCTTATCTTGGACACAGTGTATAACGTAGGGTATTTCTTGTAATTCTTCATGTAATAATTTGATGGTAATTTCGAATGAACACATAATTTTTGTAATCATGATACCTCATATCGGCAATTTTATGGAATTTTAAGTCATTTAAAATTAATGTGTAGCTTTACTACATTAAATATTATTTTTGTCACATCCCTCGTAACTGGTTGTTTTGTCACAAAATTCTATTACCGCCAAAACCAAGTAATTCAAATGCTTGGACACCAATTATATAAAATATTGCGATTCATATTAACTACACGAAGGCAAAATTTTATACATATACGCTTTATTTTTCGTAAGCTTTGTCCTTTTTCTTAGGCAACATTTTTACGGGATGCAGGGATGCAGATTTAGTTACAAGGGCAACATTTGATAAATTTCGTATCCGATTATCTTGACCTCGCATTTATGTTGTAAAAGGTACCTACGCTATTTGACAACCTTTTGAATATGAAACATTTTTATTGGCTTGATCCACAAACATCTTCCAGATCTCCTTAAAACTTACCCTCAGGTTTCTAACACCCAAATATTTTGCCATTTTTTCAACACGTTTAACAGGTGTAAGTACAATTTTTCATTGTTTTTATAAGATACGATACAGGTAAATGAATCTATTGTATACGCAACCCAATAAAGCGTAATTAACACAATTTCATCAATTTAAGGCGCCATTGTCTTCCTATTACACAAATATATTGTATTTATACTTTAAACTTTGATCTACCACAATCAATACATCAGCATTCCTTTAGGCTTCGACTTGCAAATTTTATGCATGTACTTCGCATTCTTTGACAAGTAAATATGTGCGGATCCGTATTGTATTGTTTCTTGCTGCATACATGTGAATTACCAATCAAAATAAAACAATGACTATTGTACCTTCAACCCGAGCTATATCCACCTAGGTACTTGTTTTTGGGGTACAGCTAAGTTATTCTAAGATCAATCTAAATCGCCATGCCAACTTCAGTAAGATAAACATGCTACATTTGACCTACCTGGAACGAACAGCATTCGGTCAATGGACTTGGGTTCGGATGGTTCTTTTTCCGCTCTTTTTTTTGCTTTGCGTAATTTAAAAAAGAATCCATCTGTAAAAACTTAAAAAAATCTTCTCACATTAAGAACATTTAAATGGTAGGCATTAATTTCTTTTTTAGTGGTTTGACGACCACATGTATAGTGTCTTAAGGGAACTTGCGGTAGTCGTGACGTAAACAATTATCATTTCCTTTATTTACGAAATTACATCTTCTGTATATCGTGAACTCATTCACTATGCAGATGCGTTTTTCTTTCCTTTTCACTAACATTGTGGTTGTTCACTATACCGTTACAGCTTGGGAAATTTTTACAAAACACTTTCCCTGTACAGTAAAACCAGTAGTCGCATCTTCAGCGTGCGTATCAAATTCAATCAACCCGATTTTGAAGTAAATATTCATTTGGCCCTGCAAATTGTACTTTGAGATAAATCTGCACGCTTCTAATGTCTAGTCGGCACATGCGTTTCACGGCTCTAAACACAATTGAAACGGTAAAGACGTATGCAAGCTTGTAATGTAACAGTTCTAGTTACTCAACTACAAGCACTGAACCAAGGAAAATGAAATTCTTCAGAACCTTGAGCCCGACTCTGCTCTTAGTCTGACGTGCCTGTTTTTAACCCTGGGGAATTACAGGTTGATACGGATTTAAGTTCCCAAAAATAATTGCTTTCTGCTATAATCCAAGAGAGCGCATAATGTCCTTAGGGAACAAAGTGCGTAATGACCGACCTTAAAATTAAAACTACGCTAAATGAAACGATATCAGATGAAACATCAGAGTGGACAAAGAACAATATTGCACCACGAATCCTCCAATAGTTCACGTAATTTTTTCGGTAATGAAGTTGATCCTAAAACACCTATCGAGTTTACTGGCCATTTCAGAAGAAAATTTAAAAGAAGAGCAGATAGAGACGGTTACACCGTGAAATTCATCTGAGCAATTATGGACACATGGACTCGCACATGGATGAAGTAAATATTAAAACCAGAAAACTTCCCTTTTTGCGGGAGTTTTGAGTTAAGTACGTCGTTGTTAGAATGAAAAAAGCATTTTTTTAAAATTAGAGTTGCGACGTTACGATATCTCTTCAGAGCAATATTTATTACTCTGCGGCACAACACAGTAAGAAATAACGCCAAACGCGAAATTGTATAATTACTTAATTCATATTGTAATACCAAATCAAATGTTAGGCTCTCGATTATGTCCCAGCAGTGAAGGTGAACACCAAAAAATTTTCTAGATCGAGAAGGACAAGGCAAAATGTTAATGAAATAACGTCGCAGTGTGTAATAAAATAATTACGTGAGAACTTCCTAGGCATAATGTTATCTTATGATTTCCACTATGTGAGAACTACTGTTTTTTGACATTACTTTATTTTTTCAGATGAAAATTAAATTCGTAGAAACCGTACCAGAAATATATGAATATCCTTCAGAAGCATCACTTTTGGATGATACTCATTTATCGCCGTCAAAAGAATCATCTCCTGGTCATGTTGTTCCTAATATCTCAGGTAAATATTAACTGTTGCTATTTTAACATTTTTAACCACATTAAATGAAAGTGAAATGTAACGTTAAATACGCTAATTTCTCGCGTTATTGTGAATAATAAGATCAATTACCGTAAATTGTTCATTGTGAAGTGTCACTTTTCCACAGAGTGACATCAAAAAGTTTATTTTTGCAAATGAATGGATCTAGATCGAAATATGCTTGGCTTGCCCTTTTAATGGAGATAAACTTTTTTCCAGTCAAGTAAATTATTTGACCAAGGTCAAAGAGCAATGTTTCTTTAGAAAAGCAATTCACTTCTCTTTAAAATAACGTATCGTTCCCCTCCTTTCATTTTAAGATTTGACTTGTCAAGCAATTTCTATTTGCAACAAATCGATATGGGCTGATATACTGTGATGTGCCACTGTTTATTCTTAGTACTATAACAATAGGTGTTCAAGGAAGCGTACAAACATTCAACAACATTACAAATTAAGAACACATTGCAAAAATATCTTTAAAAAATCTATAATAGAAATATAATCTTATATTTCAAACCTTTTAGGTTCCTCATTAGCAAGTTACATCCCAAAGTCAGGTTCATCGGAAGACTTTCAACTCGGAATTACACGCAGCGCACCTACGCAACAACTTTTACTCGAAACCAAGAATAGTAGTGTGTTTGTAGAGTCCGAATTGCAAGAAGTCGATCAACCCATACTATTTAGCGCTGGAACAAATTCGGACATTCTGTTTTAAGTAATTATTTCTCAATCTGTAATTGCTCTATTACCATTGTTTGTTATCAGTATAGTTTTATACAACCTGGCTTACATTAACAGTAGCGATAGCAAATTGAGAAAACTGCCAAAAATGCATTTATTTCTTCAGTCTTTAGCTGATTAGTGAAATGATTTTCAAAAGTATGCGCTTAGAGCTTACATTGAGGAATATGAGTACCTATGTAAGTTTTGTAAATTTTTTAATGTTTTTTATTATATAGTTATTTTAACTGTTCTGGTTAAATAAAGACTGTGATTTGTAATTAGAAATGACCAACATTACATATTAGTATACATTTTTTTAAGATAATAATTGCAATTCTTTTAGATACTCGAAACTAAATTGCAAGTTTAAACTTTAAATTTAGGTCATTTTTCAAATTAGAAAAATTACTGGGTGTATTTTAAATAACGTATTTATATACAGTCTATAGAAAATTTATAATTATAGCGTCAAATGTATACAATTTGTTACTGCTCAATTTAAACTTTTTTATTGTAGCTCTGTAAGCATATAAGTATATGATATTTCTATCGTTCAGCTATAGCAGTGTATTTTTCATGTGATTTAAGTATAACATTTGTGTATATTTTACAAGTATGTTTTCAATCCATAATAAGTATTAATTGTATCGTATCGCATTAATGTAGGTTATTTATTACTTATCTTTATAATACATCTACGCCTTATGCTTGGTAATCCTTTGTAAAAAAAGATTAATAAAACAAGTTTCCAAATTCTCTGTGGTTCCTTCAAAACGGAGTAGGAAATAATTAAATAAAAAATAAGTGGATTCTTTCATAGTGTAAAAATCAGGCAAAGAATTAGCCCTGCTGCAAATTGAACCCAGCCCATGCACATCCCACGCATAGTCCAAGTATAATCGAAACACAGCTCAAGCGCATGTTTTTTATAATGGTAACACATATTGAACACAGCCCACACCTGTGACTCATACCCATCTCCATCATTTTTCCCAGTATGCAAGATGACGGCAAGCCAGTAGCTTCTTCGCGATTGTTACTCTGAATCTATGAATAAAAAACGGGTTATCATGTTGCACCTAATCAGCAAGAAGGAAAAAGAAGCAGATCCATGAGTATGTACAAAAAAGAGTCATGGAGAGTTAAAGTTATCCAGTGAAATTGCAGATAGTGTGTTTAAAGCGTCGTTTCGGTTAAACAGAAGACAGTTGACTTGACCATTTCAATTAATTTTTCTTAGGTCCGGTTGTACAATATCAGTTTAAACTTCAAATTAGTTTAACTAACAGATTTCAGAAACATTATGATTGGTTAATTTGTGAAATATTAGAATATTAGCCAGTCAAATCCCTTAACCCACAATTTAGCTATAAAAACTGAAGTTTAAACTGACATTGTAGTCATTGTACAACTGGGCCTTAGAATACCCTGTAGGTATAATAAAGTATACTACACAAGTAACCTCCTAATTATCTTATTAATTTCTTATGGCCATTAATCTTTCATATGTGAAGCCAATTGTTATGTTCAGTATAGTTTAGTCTGGTTTGTATATTTTTAAGGAAAAAATGCGCTACATATAAACATAAACCTTACCTGTTCCGTCACATTAAGACCTCTGTTAGTCATCTAATCTTCATAGGAATTTCCCAACACATTCATTAAATCTATAAGTACTCTTAGTTCGACATAATTACATCACATGTAACAAACGGACATTATGAACCATGATACCAGCTCGAGGTAGTTCCCTGCTGTATGCCACTTGGTTTAAGACTTTATGCAACTTTAGAGGTTCAGATTAGTTAAGTTAATGTAGTAGGTCGCCATCCACAGCGTTGTGAAGTTGTCATCTTAGTCAATAACAGGATATCAGTATAAGGGGTGGGTGGGAGATGAGGGAACTATTATGTGCGATCATCATGTGTTAATTAAAAAATGTTACAAAAATAATAAACTTTTAAGTAAAGATACAATTGAGAATATTAATAATAATAATAATGCTTTATTTGCCCAACAGGAACACCCATTTACAGGACAAAGGCGAAAATACATAAAGAAAAGTTATTAGTCTTAGATTAGTAATAAACGCTAAAAGTGAGAACAACAAATAAAGATAAAAAAAAATACTCAGCAGAAACAAATAATATAAAAAAAACAAATGATTTGAAAATAAAGTATATTACAATTATACAATATTACAAGATTTGCGTAATTACAGGGAATCTTTCTTCAGAATTATACATTAGAACAATTTCTCCATCAATATTCATCAATTTGGTCTTCAGCCCCTCTATACTCTAAAAAAATTAGGATAAACAATTAGATTGACTTGTCTTAAGTAGTTACTTACAGTCATTAAAGCACTTGTAGCCTTTTTGTCCTTGTTTATGACATTTTTGCGAATGGCCATAACAGCGGAATGGTGATATCCTACCAAATTTGATACTACATTTGTGTGTACTTTGGCTTCCAATTCATCCGTTTCATCTCCAATAAGTAACACTAACGTCCACCCATCATCACAAACTGATAGTTTTTGAAGAACTCTCTTATACTGTGCTCGAATGACAAATTCTCCTTCCTTTGCATTACTTTTTAGCAAATATGCAATAGAAACTACTTTATGTGAAGAGTTGGATGACACATTGCCTTGTTGCTTGTCTATAAAGTCTAAATGAGCATCAATATCAGCAAATAAGCTATCATTTACAGTTGGTATGAATTCTTTAGTTAAGTCTACACATTCAATATCCTTTCTTGTGGTTTGCAAATCTACCCGATTACAGATTTCCAGGCCTTTATTACGATATGACTGATTCTCCACTGCCACATAATCTTTCGCCACATCCCTTTCTGCTTCCAAAAGCATATCTACTTCGTCTGTTATTAGTGTATCTTCAAGATCTATTGATGGAGCAATGGTGTTCACAATAGGTACATTAGTCGCTACTTCCCTCATATTTCTTAATTGTTGGGGAATGGAATTTTGAACATTTCGATTTGTTCTGCCCTCAGTTACAGGAACGGAACTCTCCTCGACGTTAGTGGGATGTGGGTTTTCGGGAAGTCGCAAAGCTCGCGCCAACACATTTTCATAGGCATTCGGGATCAATATTTCCTCAACTTCACCCCCTAGTAATTGTAAATGCTTTGACTCTAACATTATCTGTCCTCGACGTACCTGTACAGGACCTGTAATTTTAATTTTTGATCCTGGTTTTATGTTAGCTTTTAGTAAAGGTATTGGCTTATATTCAATGGCCTCTATTTGTTGAACACCGTCCGTCAATACCATCTGAAGCATTCGTTTACTACCAGTGTAAAACTTTGGCTCTTGATCTGTAATGGACGAATCGACTAGCACGTTTGGAGTACGAATTTTTTGCAGTTGTGATAGTTTTGGTTGTGAAATGTCTTGGACGTACAGTAATTGCAAACAGTAGACATTGTTTAATGATATCTTCTTCTGCTGTGCCAAGTTGGGAGGTAAAATCGGTACTTCCACATCTCTTAAATCTAATAATAACCACTGCTCATATACAGCGGAATTTAAGGTTTCTATTGAATAATTCACATTTGGATTCTCTTCTTGGTACCACTGAATACAACTTTCTAGCCAATAGTCCGATAATGTTATGTGGTGAGACTGAAAGAAACGTTTTACAGACAAAGATTCAGACATTTTAAAGATATTTTTATTAAACTTGATTTAAAAAGTACCATAACCTAGCAAATTGAACTTTGAAAATTAGAGCCACCGCCAATGCAGATTGTAGAATGTGGCCACGGTCGTATACAGGGTGATGACTTGCGTAACGCATCAGGGATTTCAATGTAAAATTCATAACATGCGATTATTGGCTCCCCAAATTATTTTAGAGCAAAAATGTATTAAAGTTTTTTGTAGAAAACATTATTTACGCCAATCAAACGTATTAGTTTTCATTTTTTTGCATAATAAAGACGGAAAATTGGAAAAATAAAACACGCATCTTTTTCAATAATCTGCTATGCCATAGAATTTTCTAATGCATTTTTCATGAGTTTTTGCTTGCTCTAAAGTGGTTATGTGTCTAATTAAGCGCATTATCTGTTACATGATATGTTCACAAACTTCCATTGCCTCTTATTATTAGTACTTATGACGAACTTTTTGAATATCACTCGATATATAGTACTAGTAATAATAATAGTATGTATATTAAGGGATTAAAAAGAGTTTTTGTTCCCGCGAGAAAATGGTTTAAAGCCCGAGTATTGCCGATGGCTTTAATATTCTTAAGGGAACGAAAACTAGTTTAATCCAGAGTGTTGCGTAAAAATGTTAATAACTTTGCGGTTTTGTTTTAGTAGTTCAAATAGCTATAGAACAAAAGTTAATACCTACACCTAATCGATAGAAAATGTTATGCATACAAAAAAGGTAACCACACTTTGTTTGATAAAGAGTGTAGTTTTCCTGCAAAATGCCAAAAACTCAAAAAATTGCACCTTTAAGGGTGGCTCACCCTTCCCTGCCAGAGGGTAGCAGATGGCTCCCCTTCTAAAAATGTTTGTTTTGATCCAATATACAATTGTGCAAAGTGAAACGCCCTACAATCGCATTTTTTCGACTTGTATGGCTAGGACTATACCTACCAACTGAAACGAAGGTTCCCAATATGGCAATATTGCATCCTATTCCTATTCACCTATACAATATACATCAACATCCATCAAACGACCACTAATGACAGTCGCTTGAATCTCTGCATGAACACAATGGAGCAAAAACAGAGGCAAAAACTGCATACTTCTTATTTAGTTTAATGATACAAATGAAACATAATATACAAATAGAAACAAATAACATTTAAAAATGTTCTTTTGGCAAGTGAGACCTTTTGGACAGTTTCCCAAACACTGGTAAAATTCCTTTTGAAACATAAGGCACAATTCCTTCGACACGGTCACTTGCCATGTACATTGAAGGTGGTAAAGCTACTGAACCTAGAATGAGACTGTTGACTAGTTCCAAGTAGTCTCTAGTAATTGGTGTTATTATGTAGAGTTCTCTTGTCTCATAGTCTACTGCACGCACTATACCTAAAATGAAATATTTGCTTTTAGATAGCCTATCCTTACAGCTGCAGCATTACCATATCCGTAACATAAATAACTTCCATGTATCGATGACGGCTTGCACATGGCCACTAAATTGGCATTCACAACTGCTGGAGCTACAATGTTGTCGTCACATATTAGATTCACTTCAGAGAAGTACACTCTGAAAAAAGTCAGTGCGCTATTCCTATAATTGTTTGTTATTTTATTACTTACTTATACAGGTGATTGGTTGCATCAGTAATGTATTTTTGAGAGTGAGGAAGACAGGCGCCAAAATAAGACAAAACACACATTTCTCTAACTTTTCTAGGTTCAAGCACCCAACCGTTACTTTCATCAGTCATAGATGGAATAGTTATAATCTCTAAATTTGACAGTTCTTCCGAGTGGCGTGTAAGGATCTGCGCGGATTTATGAATCAAATCGAGGCTTAAACACTGGGCAAAATTTCTATTAGGATTTGAACTCCTAATTTCAATAACAGATGATGGTTTCACACAACAAACAACCGATGAAAATATGTTTAACCCAAATCCACGAGTGTAGCCCATGTAATTCACAATTGTAGGCATAGAAGGGATATGTTCACATAGAGACATTAGTAATTTGACGTTCTTTATATAATCCCTCGGTTGAGCAGATATATCTATTTTAGGTACAAACACTGATCTGAAATGGGATAACATAAATTAGTGCTTACCGTTGAATTAAAAATATTAATAAATACATGATAATTTTGAGACAGATAACCTGTTTGAAGTAGAAACACCTGCATCAAGTTGGCAATAGATTCCAGCAATAGACATTTTTGTAGTGAACTCGATTGCATAACTTCATCAGGGGTAGAGGAGTTGAAAATAGAGAGGTAATTTATTTGTGGTAAGTACAAGATTTTTCATTATTCAAAAAATGAATTAAATTCTCGATTAAACGATACCTATAAAAATACCCAAAAATAAAACATACAAATCTAAACCTCTGTTTCAAATTAAAAAATGACTATTTTTGATCTTACAAACTTAAAAAAATTCAGCTGGTTCAGCATTTTACTAAAACAATGGAGAAATGCCCTTTGCTTGATTATAAAATATCTATTGCTCACTTCATGTGATTTTTTATCAATATTGTATACCTATATGGTTCCCTGAGGTGAGTGTAATTAGGTCCAAATACAGGCTCGGTCACTATAGTAGCCGAGAGACATCCGGATATTGTAAATTCTGGCTGTCCTGGATCCAAATCTATCACTAACACTTCCTTGTAACTCAATAATAACTTATTAACCATATAGCGGAGTGCTGAACTTTTACCCACACCTTTGCCGCCACTAAGCAATGTCTTTGACTTTTTGTGCATGCGTGAAATGATTGAATCTAATTCAGGATTAAACTTCAACAGATTGGAGTTTTCGTGCTCCACATTAAAACTGCACTGAACGTTATCAATGTTTGGAAAAATTTGTTGCGCAATGTGCCTGACTAAAAAGTTTATTTTGGGACTACTCATTTTCTTGCATAGTATCACCGCACTGGTACTTTCAATTTTGTCAACAAGCGTATTAACTTCTTGAGAAACGAAATTTTCTTTTAATAATGTTTCTTGAATAAAGGACTTATTTACTTGTTCGTTGTAATTGGTATTGGTCAAGTACAGAAATGCACTGCCACGTGGAGAATATAACTCTTGTGCTTCTGACGATTGAGTTAATGTGTATCCTAAAACGTCTACAGCTCCATGCAGCACTTGAGCACTCATTAACCCATAAAAATACAATGTAGAATTTTTTGGAAGTATTATAATAAGAGAATCACTAATGTGAAGAAATTCAACTGCTACTTTTTGTCTCCCTAAACGGCCTTCAGGCTGGCAAACTTCTTCGACACAGCTACCCTCCGAGTTATCACTGCTATCATATTTATCTGAGTCGTAACTGTTATTATTGTCTTGATCCTCATTGCTCTTAAAATGTAACTCGTCAACAACAAAGGTGGTATGTTTATCAGTCTCCGGCACAAAGCTAATAGAATCATTAGATGATGTATCGCAGATATCAAATTGAAGAGATTCCATCTTTTCGCATGTTACAGTCTCCAATATTAAATGTTGTTGTGCACTGTTAACAACCTTCATGTTGTCCTTGTTAGTTTGTAATTTTCGTTTTCCACTATAGCTAGATTCTACCCTCCTTTTGTCTTTGGAGATACTGCATGTCTTACCTTGTAGATTCATCTATGTACAAAAGACAACTGTAGTGAAAATGTGGTAGGTAGGTACCGAGGTAGGTACCTATCGCATAATAAATTTGAAAAATAAGTACTTACAGTTATGGTTATAATTTTGGCATTGCTTTCAAACGATAAATACAAAATACCACGTTTTGCCACTAAAATTTGTTAAATTATATAAAAGAAAACCCAAATTTAGCTTAACTATAATAATGTTAGGTTAACCATAGAATAAACATCAAACACGTGTTAATAGTAAAAATTCTTACATACAGAGTGCGAATGCGGTGACAGCGGTGGTTTACTTCCTAGACACCACGCACAGATGGCGAGGAGGTTTGAGTAAAAATTACAGAGAATGTAACATACTACAATGATGTAACGATGATGGGAAATAGCTTATCACGCGACGGAAGCCGCCTACATTTTACCTCCTTTGCATTGATCAGTTATTTTGACTTGCTCTACGATAAAACAAAGAGACGATGTTGCGATTCACTATATTCCCACATGTTCAGTAGTTTAAGCGTTCAATTTGTTTTCCTAGGCCCTGTAATTTATCGTGTTGCTTTTAACAAACAAAACGAGTTTTATTGCACACTTTAAATTGGTGTATCTCCTAAACTATACATGCTAGGGGGCCAAATAAAATATCAAATTAGAGGTACTTTTATACACTACAATTTTGAATAACAGAATAACATATGATTTTACCCAAGTATGGCCGTTGGGGCAAACTTGGATTTTTCTCTCTTTTTACCATTTAAACAAGTCGAAAAAATAACTATCTTCTACCGGACCTTTTCATTTCAGAATTCAAGTACGATTTTCAACAGTCGGTTACGATGATTGTAATGTACATACGATGGATCGGAGGTTTTTTGTATGTTTTATGTGGGGGCGAAAAATATTTACCCCACTATACATTTACAAATATCCATGCCCGAACCCGGATTCAAACCAGGGACCCTTAGCACCACAGTCCAGCTTTAACTGAACTGCGCCACACGGCCGGCTTTCCGTGAAAGATGGCGACACAAAAATTAAACAATCGGTACCTATTAAAGTAAAATTTCGAGGGAAAGGAAATTCACGACGGAGATAGAATTCTCCGATGAGGTGCAGTTTGAAAGGCGAGTTGAAAATCATGATAATGTAAAATTGTTAAATGGAAATTAGAAAAGAAATGAGAAAGCAAATAAGCACATATCCTGAAAGATTTTCAATAGCTCTTTTCCCTTTCTTGTAATCAATGAAGACCCTTGGGCATGGATTTATTCAATGCCCTTGGGCCATCTCGTGTGATTAAGAGAGGGCATCCCTGATTTGAATTTGACTGTTTTGTTGTTTAACGGATTACATTACATTACATTTCAAAACCGCCATTTCTTGTGTTTTATTTATGTTGACCGGTCCTTAAGAGCGACACACACACATAACCTCGAGCATCTCGTTTCAAAACACAACGTAGATCCTGCCATACATGATCGACATATCGAATTTTTTAATACCTTTATCATTTCCTCATAAATCCACTTATATCGTTAATTTTTTGTTATTATTTGCAAAAACTAATTTCAGATTCCTGATTTTCATGTTTAAAAACCCCCAGATACCAAATTTCGTCGAAATCAGATTTTTTTCGCAGCCCCGTTGAGAGGTGCGCCCTTTTGTGGTAGGAATTTTGAAAACAAAAATGCCAAATCGGAAAGGGCACACTCCAAAACCTATTAAAAGACCTGCTACCAGTTTTTCCAACTCTTATGGTTGCTGAGAAAAAATGAAAGAAGAAATGCACATTCTTGTTCTTCTTCTTATATGTACCATTGATCATTGACTGAATATAACATTCAAGTCATTGATTATACACGTTAGTGTGTATAATCAATGTATGTACCTATAACATCCTTATACAATTGTAAATGTGTGTAAAATGCATTGGCATTGTTTAAAAGTATTTAAACAATGGCATTGTCATTGAATTTATAATAGCATTGAATTTATAACTATAATAGTTATAAATAAACTCAATGGTTAAGTCTTTAGTGTGCTGCCATCCGCGCACTAGAAGAAGAACTATTATACTACAGTATTACATCAGGGCGTGTAGCAAACTTTGTTAGTACTCTTCTAGGACTCTGAAGATTAGATCCTCTAGATGGCGCCCAAGTTTTTTGTTGTTCATATGTGATTGTTTACAAATTTACAATGCGAGATGGTTTTTGGAAGTGGCAGTGATGTAAGTGGGATTATATGAATGCTATAAAATCGTAAAGTTCTTTTGCGCTAAAGTAGTGGGCTGTTTTTTGCATCGAGTAGTGGTGTAGTGATTACAAACGAAAATATTTCGACAACTATTACCCACATTTCCATGTTTATTTACATCGAATCAACCACTGCGAGTTTAGGTAAGGTAGCATTTATTTAAGATGCGCAATTTTAAGAATTAGGGGTTATCATTTAATTTAATATGATCACGATTAAGTCATACTTAAAATTGACATGTTTTACATGGTTTTGACTGCTCTAATTCCACTTAATCTATTGCTTCCGTATTCATAGTTCTCAAAAAGATGTTTACTCTTTAGTGATTTAATGACCCACATAATTATCTAAAGCTCAATTCATTTCTAATGTTTAATTTAAATAATAAAATTGTCCCGGCTCGTTGTGAACAGCTGCACTTTAGTTTGATTAGGCAAGGCACATTTCTTTCCGCCTTCTTTAATTCAATCCGCCAACGTTTTTACCTTTTTTTGTTGAAGAAAAAAGCCATTAGTTAGTACCTTGATTACTATTCTTTTCAATGAGATCTGTCTTTGATTATACTATTATATGCACTCTTAGTAACAATCGTTCTCGCAATAATCTTTTAAGCTATTTGTACACATTACACTTGTGACCGGGGTGTTCCATAGTGTCTGTTATTTTTCACCACAGGGTTTTCCTATTTGTTTTCCGAAATTCCATATCTCTCGGTACCAATGCACGCCAAAAATTCCCGGCCTCACAGGTCCAGAGATCGCATTCAGCATTCAGGCAAAATTTTTACAACACGGCACGTCCAAGTCTTATTAGCCTTGGAAGAACGAAACATGAACTTTAATGTCAATAAGTTTTCAATCAATTGTCATAGTAGCTATGTCAGAAATCACAAAAATCGAGTACTGAGCTGTGATTTCCTAAATTCCTTAGCCGAGAAGGTGTTTCTCTTCAGGACATTAACCATCGGTTACATACGACCCTAAGTAACTATTCTTTGGGCTTAGAGCTTTTTGCTCACATTTTGGGGACAAACCGAAGGAATATTTTTTAGGGGTGTTAAAATGCAGTTTGTGGGGATCAAGTACAATATTGAAAAAAATATTTGGCGCTGCCCTCGTAATAATGTTACTAGGTAGTTCTGTTGCTAACAATCAGTCATATTATACCCAATCGGAATTTGAGTAAATGTTCAATGAACATTTTACAAGGTATAAAAAAAAGCAATTATAGAATGCACATTAACAGAATTGTGCTATAGGTAATAGCGAGAGTAATAGGTACTTGTAATCACCTCTAAACTATTAATTTCATGCTTAAGAGAAGCTTGTAATATAAAGTTGGTATTTGCGACTTCGCGGTTACAGCCCACGAACTCAATTATTTGTAGCCGTTTGTAGCTTTGTTTATGTTTGCGAATAGTTCACACCCAACACCAAACTAAGCGAAATCCATTTTTTACCAATTGTACTACACTTACCGACTTAAAACCGAGCTTAAAACCTTAAAAATAAAAATTGTCGTATTTGCACACATGGCTATAGGGTGTAGTGATGTGAGACGCGAATATTTTCAAGGGAATTTTGCTATATTTCCGGAAATATTCGCAAGCAATGTTATAAGGGCATATAATTTTTCCGAATAAAATCAAAAAAACAGATAAAAGAGTTATCGGACCTAACCTCATTATTTAAACAGAACACCCTGTATATTTTAATCTAAAAATAAAAATTAACTTCAGGAATATAACACACTATGGGTGATATTATAAAAAGATTCAAGTGATAAAATATCCAAACATGATTTCAAAAAGATTCGTGAATTATTTAAATTTTTCGAATCTTTTCTGAATTTTTTTTGTGTGTTATATCTTTGAAAAGTAAACCATCTTTTACAATTAAAATCTAAAGAGGTTTTTTAAAATCTTTTCTAATTTTTTGAAATGCTTGAAATTTTATTAAATACGAGATTACATATTACTTACGATGTCGTATATTTTCAAAAAGAAAATTTAATTGGTATACTATCGTTTTAGATTAACATACAGGGTGATTCATGTAGCCTATTCGTTAGAAGATTTTTTAACTTGCAGTTGAAGTTGAAATTTGGTTCACAGCCATAATCGGCTACTTATTGCGAATTGAAATAAAATAATATCAATATTCCCGCTTCCGTAAGTACCGGAACGTAGCGCCATCTGGGTTTTTCAAATAGAAGCATACCATTTTTTATTATTCTTTAAATGCGACATCTTATTCTGAATTCAACTTCATTTAAAATTTGGGTCCTTTGATTGTCATTGACATACTTATGTCAATTTTTCTCTAAAAATGTGGGGATTCAAAACTTCGTATCTCTTAAACCGTTCAAGATAAGTTCTTCAGAAAGTATCGGTAACTCTATTAAAAATTGTATTTCAAGAATGTAGGACAATTGTCCAAAAATTAGTTGAAAACCGCAAAAGTATAGCTTTACACTCGTACGAAAAGTAATAAATATTGCGCGTTTTATCGATGAAAGCACTAATATTCGTCTAGTCAAAAATTGGTTGCGCATGCACAAATTGAATATAGATTAGAGCATTGAATAAAAACACTATATTCAATGATTAGAGGCAGTTTTTTAATACCACGTGTCTTTAGCAGATTGAAAAAGTAGAAATCTAGTGATCTTTTCGTTGTCATGCAGTTGAAAAACTTTTAAAATTTTAAAGGTAAGTTTGGTTTTGATATTGTCATGTTCAAAGGTTGAATTGTTTGCACACTCCAATTTGGGGGTGTGTCATTTTTGACTAGAAAAATGTTTACAAAATCTTATGTGTATCTTTTTTTGCATAAGTAAATCGTTCAAGTTGCATTAGAAAAGCTTAACTCCAAAAATCCAGGTTGGTACCGTGTGGCAATTTTGAGAAAACTCAAAAAGTTTTTGGATTCGACTTATCTCGAAAACGGTGAGTTTTTGAAAAAATTTCATTGAACAAAAAATTTATTTAATCGATCTAT